TAAAATTCATTTTCATATTTAAAAATTAAATTTTAATGACGCCGCAAAGATAAGGAAGTATAATAATTCCATTGAAAATAAAGAAAAGAACAATTTCTATTATACATTTAGCCTTTGGATTAGGTAAAGGCTTTGTTGAATGTTTTCTTAAATAAATCCATGACTTTGTGTTTTCTAATGATCTTTTTACATAAAGCAATTTTTTTAATTTAATGATGCAAATGATTCAAGTATGTTCAAAATTAGTTTTTTTTAAATTTCAAATAAATGTTTATAATCGATGTCGGATCTATATTTTAAAAATATATATTTTTAGCTTTTCGGTTGTTCTGATTAAAACATTTATTGCTCCTGCTGCCAACGTCTTTCTTTTTCCTTGAGAGAAATACAGTTTTGTGTAATTTTTAAATTTTAAATTTTTTAAAATTTATTTGTGCAGTTTTACGAATTTAGTAGAGTCAACTATATTGCTGTGAAAATAAGCTAGTTAGTCATTTTATTTTAAATAACGCACTTTTAGAACTTACAATGTGATTTTATCCTCTTTTTGAGAAAACTAGCCCTTTAACCCTCTTCCTCCACTCACGGTGTTTAGCGTTATTCATTTTTTTGATAAAACTAAACAATCGATTATTCATGAAACATTCTCAGATCCAGCTTAAATTTGCCACTAATGAGGTTCAAACATTTTCATTATATTTTCTAGACTCCCAAACACCAGAATTTGTGGAATTCAGAAATTCTACAACAGCGTAACGTATGTTATTGATTACTTAAGAAAACTCCCAAATAAGCTTCGTACACAAAAGATAGAATTTTAAGGCGGAAACCCATGCCGTTATATTTTACCATGGAATTTATCGCCTTGGCAAAGTGATGAAAGGTTATATCCCGAGTGAGCTCCCACCACTTTAAATTAATTCCCAATTCGGCACATATTAGTACTGCGTTGGTTAAAGCTGTCGAAATATTTTTGCCTCGCAACTCTGCGAGAAAATGAGTTTGGAAGAACCGCAAAACTACCAGGTGTCGCGCAAGTCATTCCCGCTATTTCCTTTGAGGCCAACATCACCAACCAGACCACTGCTGTTCCCGCCGTCCCATGACGAAGCAACGTGATGTCTCGCGTGCCTGGGAGGTCATTACTCGCCTTCGTGTTTCGAGATCTCTCGCCCTTCATCCTCCTCCGCCGCCCCCCTATTCTTATTTATCATCCTCTCTGCCTTGCGTCTCCTCTTCCGAATCCGTCTCCTCTTCCGAACAAACCGAATCGCTTGCCCCAGCGGCAATTTGCGAAAAAGCGTTACCTCTGGCAGTCTGTTCGCGTACAAAAGTCCTCTGACATTGGAACAAATGGCTTCTTTGGGGACGTGAAATTGTTTATGAATTTCGTCGCTATTAAAGTAGATGCATTTAAAGATTTATTCAAAGGTCACGATGGCGGTTGCATGCACGCCACGAGTAAAAAGCACGAGACGCGTCGTTTGCGCGTGGGGTTTTTTGTTCGTCCCTTTCTTGCGGCGAGGAAAGTTTTTGGCAGACTGCGTGTGAATGCTGCCCTGTTCCGGCCCTTCCGGCCCATGTTAGGAGGTCGTTACTTGGGCCGTCCGTGAGCATACCTGCATGCAGTGCTCTTTCTATAATATGTAAGCGTGTTTGCTTACATTCGTTAATAGACGGATGCAAACCGTTCTGGATTGTGGAGCGTAGTAATTTTGATGGAGTTCCCGGACCTCAACGTCATTTCTGTAGGAGGGGTAGATGGTGCTCGTGCTTCGAGAAGATTGAAGTTTCGTGAAGGTTCTAAAGGATTCTTAGTGCTTGTGAATGAAGTATAAAAATTCAATTTTCGCGTTTTTGTCCCTTCAAATTATTTAGAAGAAAGTACAAGAAGCCGAAGTATAGATTTCTGAAAATTATTTTTTATAGATAGGAGAAGGGTAATGAATAAGGCAATATTACATAATATATCTGCTATCGAGAAATATAATGAAAAAAGGTCAATATAGTGGTGTGAATAACGATTTCAAACGTTAGAAGACACTGGAACTTATAACGACTCAATCAAAGGCTTTCAATTCATTAATCATTTTAAATTATTTCTACAAGTATGTTGATTCTAAGAATGGACTCTTGAGAAAGTTTTCTCGTTTTGCTTCAATTACAAAGCAAAGTAGTGCTCCTTGAAACTGTGTTCTCATTGATGCCCGTGGCATCCGAGTCGTGGAGGCTCCTGCTCCCATCAATATTTCAGTTCGTTTGTTGCTCGGGGTAGAAGGCTGATTGCCGGATCGGAATGTTCTGGATGCGGCGAAGGAGTTCAAGGCTCCATCAGGGCGCGGACGAGCGCTTCGGAGCGCGGGACAGATTCGCGGCGGGGCGTCGGAGCCGGCGGCGGCGGCGGCCGACGCCCGGACGAAGGCTGGAGCATATTAAATCACCGGGGCCGGGGGCGGCGCTGCTGGCGGCGGCAGCGGAGGGGCGGCGGCGGCGGCGGCATCTGCAGGTTAATTAAGAAACCATCAAACGCCGCCCGACGATGATGGATGAGGCGGCGGCGGCGGCGGCGGAGAGGGCGGGCCGGGGGCGGCTGTGCTCACTTCGCCCGCCCGTCCACCCGTCCGCTGCCTGCCTGTTCGTTCGTCGGCCCGTCCGCCCGCCCGTCCGTTGGCCCGCGCGCTCTCTCGTCCCGCAGCTCCCTTTGTGCCCCCGGCCCGTGCCAACAAGGGAAAGCATGGCGGGCGCCTTTCCCAGGCGATAGATGCGCTGGGGGCGGCCGCTTCCGAGAGTCCATCTTGCACCTCGAGATGCGGAAGGCACGACGCGGGAAAGTTCGTTTACGTGATGCTTAGTTATCGGTCATCTTAACTCGGTACTCTGTGGTAATTTAATTTCAGGTGGGGTAGATAGTTACGTACTAGGTCCAAAAGAATTACACTCAATATAGTCCATTCTGTGATAGTGTTGTGTTTCGCGATACGACGATGATATTAACGCGATCTTGAAAACAATTAACTGATGCAATAATGACAGAACGCGGTGCAACTATCAATTGCGTAAGATTGTTTGTTGAGGAAAAGTCGCAACACAGTTTGTCCGGAAAGTAATGAGTGAAATTAATATTATTCACCCGATTAAACACTAACTACAAGAATACGTCGTTGTTCCTCGTTTTCGAGATCTTCATGAAATTACGAAAATGAATTTTATTAGATCATTTTCTCTTAACTTTACATTAATTTCTCTTGAAACAAAAATCGTCACATAAAATGTCATTATATTTATATGTTAGGATTAGAATGAAATTGCCTTGCATAATCTGAAAAAAATTATAGTAAAAAACTTTTTTTTATTAGGAAATTATCTGCACCAGTGTAGTGAATGCGTGATTGTCAATTGTATTGTACTCTGTTCTCTTTCTCCACAAGTATATTAAATATTTTTCGACAGTGTAGAAGTTTTCTGTTTAAACTTCTTATATGATGGACTCTGATTAGTGCAAAGAGATGTTCAAAAAGGAATAGTATTTCCTATGCAAAATACGAAAGAAATATTTATGAGTAATTTGCATTTTAAGTACAGTTCGTTATTTGATGAATTTAACCGCATTCAAGAGGGCCCATAACGTCTGAGGTTTCATGCAACCGCAGCGTTCGATTCGTCTCGGGCAGCCGGCGCAGGCATCTCGCCGAGGTCGCCTCGCGACCCCTTCTGCAGTGGCGCGTCGCTCTTTGAAAACAATCTCTGCTTTCAATTTCCCTCCGACGGGCGACGATGACTGATGGCGCCCTGCCCTCCCGGGCGCTTCCCATAAGGCGCTCTGCGCGGGCGACGGGCTGGCCTCTCGCCCGCGAGCATGGGGCGCGCATGCCGCCCACCGCCCACGCGGCGCTCATTAGCACAGCTGCGCCGGCGCTCGTGCCGCGCAGCCGACGTGCGGCCGTATCCCAGGCGCGCTTGGCCCACGCTCGCCATTTTATTCGCCGCCGTTCCAACATCGAGTTGGCCTGGCTTTACTGTAAGGAAAGTCCACACTTGAGTAGCGAATTCAGAGGCAAACTGTGGGAGGGAAAATTCAAAATGTTGTGTTCGAATGTGTCATATTACAAATTTTGAAAAATACAGCAGGCTACGTTCAGCTCATGCTATGATACCATTTTATTCGTTTTTGTGATTATCCGAAAATATTTTTGGTTGAAAGTTTCGTGACAACTTAAATTAATACTTACGGAAAAAAATTAGGGGGGGGGGGATTTCCCTCCCTCTGGTTCCACGCCTGGCAGTTGTGTTCATGATCCTAACGTATTCATCGATTAGTTTACTTCACTCTAAAGTGATTGACATTTCGTTGCAGTTGCAAAGCGAACAGTTGTTTCAAGCGACGTGCGCAGTGCTTTTGTCGTGAAAGCTGTAAATTAAAATCGCTTAATGTTTGTCTTAATGTCTGTGGCGCACTCGTGTGGTACACGGTTTACTGAGCTGCAGCGCCCTTGCCCCAGAAGCCAATGACACGCATTTTCAAATATGATTTTTACTATTTTTATGACAATAACGAAAGTCATTCTACTAATTGAATGCATTATCAATAATTATAAATCCACTAAAATATTGTTTTTCATAGAGCTTGAATGAAAAAATCTTTAAATTAGAACATCAAGTTAGCTGGCCCTAATGCCTTCACCCTCCCACTTCAGGAACATCCTGGTTGTTCTTTGTTTAGAATTGAAGGAAACTTCAGAACGCAGATTTCTGAAAGTCTGTAACACAATCTCGAAATATGGTTTACACGGCTCGAGTCTCGTGTTTCGACTACTTTTGAAATAGCCAAAAATTCAAAACTAGAAGCAATTTCGGAAACGTTTTACAATACAAGTAGCTGTCATTGTCTTCAAGGAACTGCGATCTAACTTATTTCCGAGAAAGACATTGAAAATTACAATTCTGTATTCTCTCCAGGACGTGTATGCAGTCAGTGAACAAAACCAAATTTCGTGATGTCGATGCAAAGTGACTACTTCGTACGTTCTCTCCACTCCGCAGCCTCGGCTAGTTCCCTCTGGTTGGACCAGCCATCGTGCCTCGGGCAGGGCGGCGACTCGGGGGACGGCGCGTCCAAGAAAAATGGCGGTGGCGGTGGCGGCGGCGGGCGGGGGGGCGCATCATTAGCGAATCGCGAGCGGCGGCCGCCGCCGTTAATGAGCGGCGCCACGATCGCGCGGCGCTACGCAAATAATTGCTCTGCTTTGTCGGGCGCCGCGGCGCGTCCATCATGCGTCGCGACGCCCACTGTCGCCGGCCGCTCCGCGTGCGGGCTCCGCCGCCGCCGCCGCCGCCGCCCTAGCGAGCTCATTGCGCGGAGAGATGGCGCGTGCGAGATGGCCATCTCCTGGGGGCCGCGGCGATTTACGGTCGTTTAATAAGCCGGTTATTTATTTAGCATACGGAGCCTGTGTAGTTGACTATTTGAGTACATTATCATCACTAGTCATGAATATGAAGTATAGACGCTCGAGTGGGTTAGACATGTTAATGGTAGATACGGTCGCAAGTAAAGGATTGTTTAACACTTTGACTATGTTAGTGACACAAATAGAATTATACTTAATGGAATAGACAAAGAAAACCGTTAGAATATTTATTCTATCTTCAACTGGTTACATTATACTTTCCCGTATGTTTAATGTAAATGATTCGTCAATGAAACACTATTAGTTTCTGAATGTTAAGATTGCTGGAATTGGGTAATTAAGTAGTTACGTTTTCAAATGTCTTTGCTAACCTTTCATAAACATTCAATACATTTCATAATTACGTGAGCAAAACGCAATTACATGAGCAGAATTACAGCGAAACATTTAACAAACATTTCTTGTGAAACGAGACAAAAATACTATTATAACGGAAAAAAAATCCGTTGAAGTATACCAGATCCATTATACTGTAACAAGGTTCCTTGTTACAGTATTATGGATCTTGTATACTCCAACGGTTCTTTTTCTTCCGTGAAATACGATTATAAACGAATGTATTAATGAGGTAAACACGTATTTGATCTATGAGTTGAGGGCATTCCGTGGTCCACTTGCAGTCGGACTGCTCATGTTCCACCTTCGGGGATAGGATTCGAGCTCCGTCCGATGGAAATGCAATTCGCGATGGCCACATCGGGTTCACGATAGGTTTTTTCGGAATTTTCTCATTTCACCTTCCTCTTGTCATTATCCTCTCCATCTTCATGCGCATTACTCCATCACCATCAGCACCACTACCTGACATGTCGCGGTAAACGTCTTACCGGGGAGACGCGATGACAGCAATGTTGTGAGTCTGCCTTTGGATCTACAGTTATTGTGCCGGCTCGTCGAACATTTATGCTATTAAGTAAATAATAAATATATAGATGAATAAATAAATATTAGATACGACATTTTATAAAATGTAGTAGACTAAAAGTATTTAGAGTCATTTTGCTACATTGCAGAATGGACTAACCTTAAAAGTAGTAACATGATTCTGCTCTCGAAAATTCGGTGTCAAGTTGATAATGGATATGGCAGTTATAGGTCTACCGCAATAATGTATTGCGTACGTAAGGGTTTGCCCGACTATTTCTGAGGTATCTTTATTACGCCAATATTATCAGCTACCTGTACCTTGTGGCGAGGAGACATACGGGCCATATTGATGGTCGGTGTCGAGAAGGCGCGGATGGAGGCGAGTGTCACGGCGGGCGGGGCGGGGCGGGCGGCCGGCCATCAGAGTCCCTCGGGGAGCGAGAACAAGCCCGCAGGCGTTTGACATGCGGGCCACCATCGCCCCCCCCCGCTTCGCCCCCGCCCCCGTCCGCCCCGGCCCTCGCCCTCGCCCCTCCCCCGCTCCCGGGCCACGTGCGCCGAGATGCCGGCACGGAGATACCCTCCCGCCCGACGGGCGACACGCCGCAAGGACACGTGCACGTGCTGCGGTGGCTGTCCACGCGCCACTCGCCCATTGGAGCAGCCCCGCGTGGGCAACACAGTTGCTAACTGGAGGCGGATGTAGTTTCGTCACCCGAGATGCGTATTTTAGGGAGTTCAATTCATATCATTGAGAGTTATTTGGATCAGTTTCAGAAGACTTTTTTTTTAAAATATATTTTATCTCCTTTTAATGAAATAAAATTGTGACCACTACATACGAGGTTATCCAAGAAAACAAAAACGTGATACCTTTCGTAACCACGTTTCAAAATTATGATAATTCGTTGTGTGTTACGGAAGGGAGCTGTTCACTATGCATTTGTATGTTTACATTAACACCAATGCACAATTTGAGAGTCGATATTCATTCTATATTTACGTTAAAGCACCTCGTACGATAAATGCTTCTCTTATCAAGAACTTCGGTGTGTATTGTATGCTGATCTAACTTCCGTGTTGGCGATTTTTATTGCAATTCTGCGTGCGGTTTTGATCTAAAGATAATCTTAGCATTCTCGGCCTCTTCCGCGCTTGAAATATTGCCGCTGCCGTCTGCGAGCGAAAGGTGCACGAGACGTGGGTTCATGAAGGCGCTCTATGACGTTGTCTGGCCTCCGATCTTATCGCCCGATCTTAGATCCAATCGATTCTTTAAAATACATCCTTTAGAATAACTGACATGTCCTCGCATGACTGAAAGCAGCCTTCGACTGTGCTATTATGTACGTACATCGCGTGCCACAGTTTTCTTTAGTGATATATTTCGAGACCAGCCCAACACGAATTTTGTGAATTACCATACAGTTATCAATTGTTGAGTTCTGTACACCCCTGCGTAGTGTTTCGAAGTAACGGGTCGCACAGCACGATAATCTTCCCATATTCGAAGAGCGTTGTTAAAAATAATAGTGTGTATCGAACCAACTAAAATAGCTGGGTATGTCGGGGTGTTTAAAAAAAATTAGAAAATGACCGTATTAAAGCCATACCACGCAAGTGGGGGGATTCTAATCCAAAATCGCCGTTGACCAGGTGTCGGATAATGTTGTCCTCTAAATAACTTAATTCAGGAAGGCATTACGTAATTAATAAGGGACGTCAAAGAGCGAAGCTGATGGTGCGCGCGCACCCTATACAACAGCGAGATCGTAGCCCACGAAGCCAGGTGGTTGGCGCGCCAAGCCAGGAGCAGGTCGGAGTTCACTTTCGAATTTCGAATTTGAGCCCTGCAGCGTATACTGCCAACCTCCACGGATTTCAAAGGCATGATGACTACTTTCCATTGTCTCCATTACCACCCAACGAATTATTTCTAGTCATCATCTCTTGAGCATAGGCTTGCTCTTAGGAAAGCAAGGAGGCTGTGCCCCCCCCCCCAAAAAAAATTGAAAGAGACCTTCAACCCTATGTAATAAAACCTTATTTCCGTAAATATTATCATTTTTTTATTTCATCGGTTTTAAGCTGACAATTTTGGGTATTAATACACATTTGGGAAGGAGGCTCTCCTGGCAACCTTGTAAAATGGTTTAACGTAAAGTCACTTGTATTTATTAATTCTGACATTAATCTTGTAATATCATTCATCTTGTAGTATGTTCGACTCACATCCTAGTAAAATGTAAATAAAATACGTGGTACATATTTATTATATTACATTTCAATTGTTTTACTACAATCTTAAAAGTTAGAAGAAAAAATAATTTATTTTATAATAATTTCCTTTTATATTCAAATTTGACTCCTGAAGAAGAGGGAAAGTGCTCTTCGAAACGTTGAGAGATAAAGTGTTTCATAAATAAACAGAACATTTCAATAAAGTATCAATGTAAATTATGTTTTTATTAACTTTTTAGTACTCAGTACGTACAATATATGACTGTCTAAAATAAAATCTGGAAAAAAATTCATGAAACCTAAAGACAGTGGTAGTGGACGCAGGTAGTGGAAGAAGTGGTAAATAAAAATTTTATTGGAACAGGGGGTCCAAGGGAGCTTCGAAATGTAGTTGGCCGCTTCTCTTGCCTTCGACTGCGCTCGCCTATATTCTTGGGGAGGTGACGTCCACCATCCCGGCTCTCCCGACGCAGCTGTCGCCCCCGCCAAACCCTGCGCCGTTCCCTCCGCTTCCCCGCGCCCTGCCATCGCCCGCGCCCCGCCATCGCCCGCGCCCCGCCATCGCCATCGCCCGCGCCCCGCCATCGCCATCGCCCGCGCCCCTCCATCGCCCGCGCCCCCGCGTCGCCCTTTGTGCGTGTGACGAGCTCGCTGCGCTCCCCGCGGCGCGGCCGCCGGGCCACGGGACTTGTAATTTCCTCAGTGGGCGCGGACTCACGGACGGGCGGGCGGGCGGACGCGCCCCGACTCCCTCTCGCCGCTTCTTCTTCTTCTTGTTTATTTTGCCCCCCGCCGGTCGAAATGTTTCGCTCCTCTCTCTCGCGGCGGTTGCCCTGGCCCGGCGGCGTACCGCGTCTGAAAAAAATTTGTGCTGCGTTGTGAACACAATTATTCCACGGCCTCTGATTGGACAGCAATTAGCGTTGGCAACAATGAGCTCGGGATGATGCATCATAATTGGTCAAAGTGCGGCGCGGGTCTTTTGTACCTGTCCGTCAGCGCGAGGGCGAGATGGGCGACTGGGAACGCGGCGCGGCGGCGGCGGCGCGGCGGCGGGCGGGGGGGCGGAGGGCCGGGGCAGAAGGAACACGCGCCGCAACACAGCGGCCGCCGCCGCCGCCGCAGGCCGCCAACGGCTCCAGACTTAGCGGCCAGTTCTCCTCCACAAAGAATTCCTACCTCGAGAGGCGCCGTCCTCTCAAACAAGAATTTAGACCGTTCGTTTCAATTTGGGCGAGAGGCATTTGGGGGACGCGGAGGGTATTGCAATGAATGCTGCGAGGGGTTTTTATTTTCATTTGTGAACTTCTCTTTTCTTCGGTCCACAAGCGAAAAAAAAATATCCATAAGCCCCCAAGAATAGTTTCACCTTCACACTCACACCCACACACATACACATACTCATACTTATATGTATATATATGTATATATATATATATATATATATATATATATATGTATATATATAATGTATAATATATAATTAATAATTTACTTGTAAACTCATGTACACTGTTATACATTCATAATAATTATATGTTAGTTTCGTTTTTTTCTCAAAGAAAGAAGTTTGTTACAGCCAAATGAAGCATTCATGCGAATGTAGGCTTTTGTGCAATTACGCATTAAACATATCGCAGATGTTATTTTATGAATTTTTCTTCAACTTCTTGAGTTAAATATTTTGTATCTTGTCTTCGTTGTTAAAAGGGCATACGTTTTATGAATTTATGTACCTTTGAATAAATTTCATGTTGACGTTCTCCACATCACTTGCCTGAACGAGTATGAAGCTGGTCAGGAATGCTGCAGGCCGGATGTCCATGAAAGTATTCAAATGTCGTGGAATGTAGCTATTTAGAGCTCGTGGCTTCTGGAGAATTCTACTGCATTTTATTTCTTTATCCTTTTGCATATGTTATGTTTAGTTTTTGCTTCGTAGTTCTTGAAATATCATAGGTCATGGCGGATAAAAATTTCCAAATGAAAATTACACATATAGGACTTACATGTTTTACTATATTTTCTTAACATGAAACGTGCTAGAGGTTTTTAGTACATAAAATATGTAATAGTAATATTAAACTATATATTATACAATATAAAACTATATTATTTTAATTTTCACTTTAGTTTGACTTGTAGATTATAATACGAAGCAAAGCAGTTCAATAAGTGTTGGTATTGTTAATTTATTCTTAAAATATAAATGCTTTAATAAGTGGAACCCAACAAAATTGTGCCTATCAGTATAATTATAATAAAATTTGCCAATATTCCTGAAGATGCTTACTAGAATTCAGATTAGGTTTACGTAATTCCTGTACCACTTGCTAATTACTTGCAATTACTTTAGGGTATTAAAATATTTCAGTATAAAACAGTCAGGAATCATGGCCCAAAGTCTAATACCGACCAATGACAAGATCGAAAACCATTACGCATAAGTGCCTGCTGCACTTTAATACCACGAACTATGACTGGCATTACTCATAACGATTCCTAATCATAATATAGAACATTCTACGTTGTTTAAGATATGCTACGTCCCACATATGCAATGGAATGTTCAACGAAGGGAATCGTCTTAACGAAGTTGGACGTCGAAGACAACTAAAATAATGTATGAATAATAATAGTATAACGCACCCTAATTTGAAGAAATGTAATTCTTTTTAATTTTGTGGGCCAGTGTGATGATAATCGTAATCCGTAAAAAAATAAACATTATCTCAAACTGTTGTGAGAACATTATTTGCATTAAAGATACTTTAAAACTTGAAATTTTCAGAGATAAAGATGGGAGCGCGAAACATTAAGCACGAGCTCTGCAGTATTAGTATTTCACCAGAATTGTTATTAGTATTTCCGCAGAAATAATACGTACTTACTAATTTGTTCTCCTGAATGCACAGGGAATATTAAATTACTATAACCTTACATCGAAAATATTTTAATAATTAAATTTGTTGACAGAACAAATGAATGATTCAAATTCATTCTTTGCACAAATTTAACTATTAAAATGCATTGTTACTCAGTAACATGGTCAGAATTTTGATTTCTTTACGACTGCGGAATATATTCTCCGAGCGTAATTGCGTCCAACAAGGTGACGGGCTGGTGACAATTACGTAAAGAAATTGTTTTCGGCATTCAGCTACGATATAAGAAACAAGCAGGGGGCGTTTCCCGATCCCCTCACCGTCCCGAAAGCCTGCGCGGCACCGTGCGTGTCCTCGTCCGTGGGGGGGGGGGGCGCAGACTCATCACGGAAGGCGGCGCGACTCGGGCGGTCACCGTCAGGCGCGACATGTTGCATGGAGGCTAAATATTAAAGCGCGCAGGCACTTCTTGTGTCCTCCGGGCTCCGAGTGCCCGCGCCCGAGGCTCCCAAGTCGTCGACGTCGTCGTCGACGTTGCCGCCGCCGCCGCCGGCCGATGACCCCGCGTTGCCGCGTGTCGGCGCTGACCTTGCGGGTCGACGGACATCTGCGCGCTTAAAGACGACGCACGCTCCGCCGACCTTCGGGTTCGAACCCAGTCCCCCTTTTCGCACTTTTCGAGCGCTTCGATGGAAATGTTCGGCAAATGAAAAATTGTACTTTGTTGTTCTGATGTTGATTTGTTTCATACGCAATTTATGTTAACGGAAGTAATGGATGGATTAATTATTTCCATCTCTATCGTGTGGATGAATATATTGTTCGGTATTTATCTCACAACTAAGTTCATTTCGTTTTGAATGCAGTTTATTCTGTTAAATAAACAATAAGAAAAATATCAAACAATGGCATTGAACGTGATTTGTGTACATATTATTTTATTAGTGAAGTAGAATTGTTTCAATGACCTACTACTTAAAATTCTGTAAATGTTTGTGACCTAGTTTTAATACACAATGTTTTCGTTTGAAACAAGTGTCTTCTTGTAAATACTAATCAGAACTCGAAATTTATGCATGTTGCTTGGGAGGGCTAACTAAATTTCTTGTAGCAATCGTGTAACTACGAACTTTGAATAATTTGTTTATATTACAATTACTGTAATTTTTCTTTTTTGTTTGACAAAGTGTTTCAAATCGTGTTTGATATATTCTTAAAGCTGCATGAAACATCTTTATTCCAAAAGTCATTTTATTCTTTATCTTCACTTTCTATTTTTGAAACAGAATTGATCTCTGTGATATTTGTATAATTCATTATTTCATAATATTCATTAAAATTCAGTGCTCTGTATGTTCTACCGCTACATTCTTGCTGCCTGTGTGAAGTCATTTCCTGTTGCTTGGTCGCAAAACATGCCTGCCTTCGACGCTCCCCTTCGCAGCGAATGCCATCAGACAGCCTGCGTGACATCACTAACTCTTGTCCTCTCTTTTCGTTGCAGAGAGGAAGCGCGGCCGCCAGACGTACACCCGCTACCAGACGCTGGAGCTGGAGAAGGAGTTCCACTTCAACCGCTACCTGACGCGGCGGCGGCGCATCGAGATCGCGCACGCGCTCTGCCTCACCGAGCGCCAGATCAAGATCTGGTTCCAGAACCGCCGCATGAAGTGGAAGAAAGAAAACAAATCCAAGCCGGACGGCGGCCAGAACGGGGAAGGGAACGCGGGCTCGGACATCACGCCTCAGACCTCTCCTCAGTGAAACCCCTTCGCCACACGCCCCTAATTTATATATAGTCATTATATTTAATAAATATATATAATAATATGAACTTGAATTTAAACATGGGAGAAAAGTACTTTTGTGGAACCAAGTGATTCTGTATTCGCCTAGAGAGTTAAATTATTTAAAGGACATTCAGAAAGAGATGGAAGAAGAGGAAGAAGAAAGTTAATGGAGTAGCGTGTAATAAAATGACAAAACTTTTATGAGTGATGAGAAGAAGTTAAAATGATACGAATCTAATAACCACAAAAACCTCCGAGCTTTTTATCAAGAATTATTTTCTGAGATTGGTTTTTCAAACACAAAGCAAGTAAAAATGTTTTTTTTTTGTTCGTGCTCTCTCTTTTTAAACGTAAGTTCCGTTCCCATGACAACACGCCTCCCGCATCCTTTGGTTTCGTTTCTCCCCTGTTTACAGTTTCATCCCGTTTTGCGTTCTCGTTTTGCAAGAAGACATGAAAATTAAGAATACACATCCTCATCATTATTCTGCCGCATGTGTGCGAATTCCTCGCGTGCAAAGGTCAGTTCTGGTCACGGGCTGCACCCTGCAGCCCGCCGCGTCTTGTCATTGGCTAGATGAGGGCGCCAAGTCATTGTTAAGTGTTGTTCTAAGCGTTCGTTGTGCTTCTTACGTCGCAAGACACGAACCTCATTGTACGTGAGTGGCCGTATACGTAATCACCTACGCCTTGAACGACTCCAGAACATTTCTGAAGTGATTCAAGTAAAAAGTTCAAAATGCACCTTCGTAACGCATCCATCCAAGAAACGATACGATGAACTGATGTAGAAGTAATTCACCTCCCTATGTGCAACGTGCTGTTTTGTAGTAGTCTACGTCGCCGATTTGGAGGTTCCTGTAGGAGCCCCCGCCTCTCCCCGAAATTTCCAAGACGTCCGAGTGTCGAGAAGTCAATAATTCAGTGCAAGTGAAACCAATTATACGTAATTCTCAAGTCAATAAGTGTCAACAAAGTGGCCAAAAAAATTAAAAAAGTGTTTGGTGTAAGGGAAAAGTTCTCGTCGACCTGCTCTTCAGTGTTCAGTGTGCCCTCAGTGAAATTTCCCCCAGTCAGTGCATCCGACCCCCATCACGGTGTGCCCACCCCCAATCGCCACCGTGTTGCCCACGCCCCGACAGTATTACGTCTGCTCTTCGCCTCTGGATCTACGCTGTTGCTTCCTGCTTCGTCGCCGTTTTTTCTTCATCATGCCTCTATCTTCATCTTCACCACCCACCCCCAGGGAGCCGCCGACGGGACGTCCCGCAAGGTCAGTTGTCGATCAAAATCCTTTTTTCTAAGAATTTTTTGTGGAGGGAAAGAAAAACATTCTTGAAGCAGTGTGAAAGTGAAAGAGTTCAGTGACTGTATGAACACTAAAAGACAAGAAGCCATGAACTCTAGAAAAGATAAATGTAAAATGCAAACCAATGCACGTAAAATGGTAAGAGCTGCTGAGAATGTTTTTGAACGGTGGTAGTTACCGGCTAGGGGACCGGTTAAGCAATGCTTCGGAGAATTGAGCTGTGCGCGATTTGGGAGTGGCTACCATACGTAATTATAACCATTATTGTAATCGTCCATCCATCCGTTCACAGTTCATCTCGTAGCAAGTCCGAACCGGTTCCTTCGTCCGACTGGCAGAATTGACGTGGAGACTTTCTTCACGAGGTGAATGTGTGATCCTGAGGTTTGGTTGTGGGAGTGTGTCGTAGTTTGTGTGCTGCGAGAACGCCTTTGTGAGCGAATTCTTCTTTTAAATCAGGGGAATATTTATTCTGAGGGGGAAGTCCTCAAAAGATCAAAAAATTTCACTTAGGAAGTAAATTTTGTATAAAAGAATTCAGCTCGTATAAGAATAGAGGCACTGCAGACACATCCACGCCCAAGTTTTATTCTGATGTGCAATAGAGTATTCTAAGGTTCTTTAAATATAAAAGCAATTTTTTGAGTGTTCTGGCGAGATGGACACCAATTGGCGAATGCCGATGTGGTTCACGGGAATGAAGGGTGTTCAAAAAAGTATTCTTAATTTTCATGTGAACACTGTGCGTAGATATGAAGAAATGTGAAAAATGAGTATATTTTGAAAGGATAGGGAGGGAAGTGAGAGTTGACAAATGTAGTTCTATTCGTTTCCCCGCGTTCATACCAAAGTTCTTATGATAAATTGTAATGTTATAGATAATTCTAGAGACGTTGTCTTGTTCCCTGCATCACGCGCTGACGATCTGGTGCGCAGTCCGTAGGATAATAACCTTTCCGGTGTTGTCAAAATTTTCCTAAGTTCCTTTCGGTCAGAGAAACAAAACGAATCTGTCCGTTTACAATTCGAAGCTAACTTCGAATACACATTCTCCTTCTATTTCTAAACACGTTTAGAAGAACAAAGTTGAATGAAACAGAATACGTAATCTTTGAAACAAATATGCTATTTTGTATACCAAATAATTCTCACTATTATGAAAAAGGCTAGGCGTTTATTTGAAATACGTAAAAAGATATACAAAGTAAAGCTGCATTGAAGATATATTTAAAGAATATTATTAATGAAGGTATTATTAGGTAGAAAAGATGTCTACTTTCTCCTGTATAGAGATTTTTGTGCGTTATTGTAAGATTTCAAAACAATCGCAGGTGTTTTCGGATACCTGTGCAATCGAGATACGTACGCTATGGCCTCAAGCATAATTTTTTTAAGACAAAAAGAAAGCAACTTCAGAGTAAGCAACAGAAGTATACGTAATTGTAACTCATGTGATTATCCTCTTTGACAGAAGCAAGAATTAATAAAGAACTATTGGATAGTACATCTTTATACACAAGGAGTAGCGTAGGAACTTTTTTTCCGTTTCATGATGCAACACTGTAAAATGTGTAACATATAGATGGAAGAAATACTAGAGATATAAATATTTTGTGCTGTGTTAATTCTTGTAACCATTATATATATAAACTACATAACATTTTCGTATCATCGGGTTTTGCGTGTACCCTAGGTATATTTTTTTTAAATTATGAAAGATATCGATTTTAGTTCGTTTATACAAATATTTTGTATTATGTTCAAATGTACATTTATATACAGAAAAATTATTTTAAGATAGATGAAAAAACAAATGCATTGAAGGCAACCGATATACAAATATTTGTAATATATAATAATTATTTAAATATAAATGGTGAATTTTATCGGTGATCTTCAAACTATTGTTTTTCGACAAAATATTATTTAAATTAATTATCCGTAGCATTTCGTCTCGTCCTTGTATAAATATTAACTTGTGTGTTGTCGCGTTTCGTATGATGAGTCTCAATTATTATTATTATTAATATAAATAATGCAAGAAAATATACGTAAGAACTATGATAAAGTAAAATTTTCGACCTCTTTTTCGTTCTTGCCCGCGCGTTCATTGAAAAAATGTCAAATAAGAAAAAACAGTCGCTAGGCGTCATTATTTTGTCCAGTAACGTGCTAGACAAGAGTCCTGTTGTTTGTAGATGAAACAAGTATCAACCATTGAAAAAGAGTCCTTTTTGTTTCGTAGTGTTAAAACTGAAAACAAAAATGGAATGAAGAAATTTGAAAAAACAAATATATACAGGTCTTGTACGTGTGTGGTTATAATTTTTTGTAGTAATTGTACAAAAATATAATAATAATAAAAATTTGAAAAATCATCCATTACTCTAGGCACTTATATTTCGTTCATAAACCTGTTCAGTCCTATTTCCTTTCCATTACTTCCATGCAAGTAGGCTTAAAACAATTCAATTTTTCCCAAATGATTTCAACAACACTACATACCCACACCGTTGTAAGAAGTTATCGTTTTCAGAAAGAAATAATATTTTATTACTTCATTATATTTTGAGAAAAATATTTTGGATCAACTCAATTTTTGTTTAAACACTTTGCAGAATTTATCAGTCATGCAAATAAAGCAGTCTCTAGTCTCGAGTTAGAAACAAATATGTGGCAGGGCTGCTCTGCATGTAGTTGCATATAGTTTAAATTTGACAAATACTCAAAAAGTATTACCTGAAAAACTTGTTGCAGCGGTGTTTGGAGGTATAACCAATCGTAGCTTTCACAAATTATGTTTCAAGTCGTGGAACAAGGTATGTCAGGCAGTGACTGGCCAATTCATAAATTTTCTGAAGCAAGTAAGAAAGATAAACATTTTTCGAAGATTATTTACACGATTAGAGATAAAATTTACGACATTTTACAAGTGTGTGTGACGAAGACGAGATGTTTATTAATAATATTCCCCCGAACAGGAACAAAACCGCTAACCAGAACGTGGTGTAATGAAGAAAACACTTGAAAACGCCGAGTGACCTTGTTCCACGGGGTGTGGAGCAGAATTTGGGAGGGGTGCGAGCGGGCAGGCGCGGCGGCTGGGCGCGGGCGGCGAGGGTGCGCGCGCCTCATGAATCTTGCAAGCTGCCACCGCGCCGCGTCTCCCCGCACGTGAGCACGTGAGCGCGTGACAGACGTCGTGTCGTCCTCGCCATTAAGCACGCCGCCGGCGACACGCGGGGCACACGCGCTTCCGAGAAACGCGCGCGCTCAGCTCTCTGCAGCACACGACGCTCCTCGACTTTTGATTGTCTTAAGCGCGCGGGAAGTATCGAAATAGTGGTTCCCGCTTTTGAGAACGAAATTTTTATGTTCAGATTTTCTAAAATTCTTAACCAACAGTAATAATAATAATAAAATTAATAATAATAATAAAATTAATAATACTAATAATAAAATTAATAATACTAATAATAAAATTAATAATAATAACAATACTAATAACAACAGAACGAAATGGCTCAGTGCGTAGCGCGCAGATCTTACAGGTGGGAAGCGCGGGTTTGATTCCCGGGCCAGTCATTCTGACCGGCTGACCTGGGTATTCGTGGTTTCCCACAGTCATACAGGCGAATGCTGGGATGGTCCAAAAACCCCCATGGTCACTTCTCATTATCATCATCATCATCATCATCATCATCATCATTCTATCACCTCATAATTTATAATTCAAGGCTTCACAACCTTGTCTTACGAAAGGATAGAGCCGAAAAGCTGATCACCATAATGACACACGTTAATATCTCTCCAAGTTAGAATATGAATGGGCCTCGGATGATAACGTGTAGCAAGGTCCGAAATGTCCGAGCCACAAATAATAATAATAATAATAATAATAATAATAATAATAATAATAGTAATAATAATAATAATAATAGTAATAATGTTAATAACAATGGCATGTGGTATCTGGGAGAATCGTTCTCATTTGCATATGTAATATAAGAGTATTTCCAGAGATGTGCATAAAAGTTTCAAGGATTCGAAAGTAAACATGAATATTTACAAGGCTCTGAAGTGAGCTATTGTGATTGTAACATGAATAATACGAAAGTTCATCGCAGTATTTATTAACGGAAGTTATGAATTTCTAACAAGTACCTAGGGCTTTGATATACATGCTTTGGTCATGAATGACCTGTGTATATATCTGCACAATGTAACAAGTCAGTGTAATAATTGACTGCAATAATAATAATAATAATAATAATAATAATAATAATAATAATAATAATAATAATAATATAATCTCATTATGAATAGTGAGGCTCGGGCTATTAATCCTCTTTTTCTGCATAATCGAGTTTATCTAATTATTTACGCATGCGTGATTTAAAAGTTCTTTGTTTTCATTCATATTAGCATTCGACATTAAAATTTCCAAGTAATTAATTTCTATTTAAAAGCCTCCGTTATTTGACATCCTGTCTTTTCTGTAATCTGTCATGAGCTCACGTACACGACACACATTTCCTTTCTTACCATAATGCCAAGCTTATAAAATATATTACGCGTGATACTGTTAAAGATCACAACAGACTGGAAGTTTTGAAGAACATCGTCTAATAAAACCTTGACCCAGTGCATGTGTGAATGAGAATGAATGGACAAAGCTTGCTTTGTAGATTTACTGACATTTTCTTCAGCACTGCTTGCTTCCATGGTGCCAACGCCTCAGAAGTGTACAACAGAAGTATACCTGAAAGAAGTCATCAAGTGTTCCTGCCCATTGTGGATTTGATTCATTTCGCTTTTCAGCGGATGTCTTGTCGAAAACGCTTTGTCCTTGACAGGAGGAAGCGTTTGCAATTGTGCTTCGTATTCTTTATTCGAAATAGAAAATGGAAGTGTTTTAGAGGATTGCGTTTTAAATAGATTCATATTATTTCAGAATGTTGGATTCGGGTTCGGATCTATGTTGGGTAGAAATAATATTCCTAAATCACAGCATTTTTATTTATGATATGAAAATGACGCCGAAATACTAAACATATTTCGAAAAATTTATATAATTAGTGTATCACATTTCACACGCACAATATTTCGTTTATTTTCATATCCCACAATTTGTAATTAATAAGCGTTCATTTTTTAATTGTTAACGTTTTTGTTTGTATTTTTTCAACATGATGTTTTCATGGTGAGAGCTTTCTTGCATTGCTTTTCTATGATGGATCTACAAAGTATTATAAGAACAATTATATAAATTAAGAAAATATGTATTTTTTTGGAGGATGAAATAATTGAAGTCTATTTGTGAACCCAAAATTTATTCATCTGTGACTTATAATACAATTCTGAATTGACAAAGTTGACTTCAATTATTTCACCTTTAAAAACATCAACATTAGCATTCCCACTATTGTATTGCTATAATTTAAAATGTTAAATTAAATCAGATAGTAATTTCAAAGTGCAGTCGTTGAGAAACTGTAAGTACAAGAAAGTGTTTTGACTCGCTCAATTGCGTTGCATAGAATTCGCTTTGAAATTCCGACTAGATGTTGTAGTTCTTTCTTAGAGAAAGCATTTTCCTCCACGCGATATGTTTATTCTGAATGCCGTGGCCCTGCGCTGCCATTCCGCTCTCCGCCACCGCCGCCATCCGGCGCGCTCCCGCTCCCCGCCCGCCCGCGGGCGCCCTCACGCACGCACCACCACAGGCGCGCCGAAAAAACCAAGATGGCCCCCGAGTATTATTATTGGCTAATACTGCGCTCGCCCCGCCTCGCCCGGCGCGCTGCTGTCAGGCGCGCGGCTGACGAGCCCCGCGGCGCCGCGCCGGCCGCCTTGGACAGCCCTGTCTGGGCGAGGCAGGGCGGCCGGGCGGGAGGGACGTCGTCGCTGCCGCACGCGCGCTCGCCGTGGCGGAGGTCAGAACTACGAGCTCCGGCGTGGCGCGCGGCGCGGCGGCAGCACTATTAAAACCCTGTATATCACCTCGCGGAGTATGATTTAACTTTTATAGAGGCGACCCGGCGGCGTTGGCGGGGGAGGGACGATATAGTCTTCCCCCCTCGTCGGCAAGAACGAACCTCCCGCAATCTTTATGGGCGACCATAAACACGGTCGGCACGGCGGCGGAGGCAGAAAATGGCATTTAAACTCTTGGCCCGCACGCGAGAGGCTCGCCTCGTAAATAACACGGAATGCGTTTTAAAGTGTTGCCGCCAACGGTTATGGCTTGTGTACATCGTAAAGCAGACGAGGCGGCGGCGGCGGCGGCGGCGGGAGAGGCGGCGGCGACGACGACCCTGCTACCGGGCCTGGCAATTAACGCTAGCCAGTCGGTGGCGATGGAGGCGGAGGGGCGGGCGAGGGCGGCGGCGCTGTTCTTACGCAAC